AGAAAAAGAAACAACATAAGAAGAGCAAGGTGCGGCGCAAGTCTCGGCGATCGAAGCGACACCGCGACTCGGAAGCTGAACAATCGGACGCTTCTGCTGCCTACTCCGGCTCGCAGAGTAGCGATGACAGTTTGCGAGACGACCCTGCACCGCTGAGCATACGGGTTCCTGAGCTGGACGTGAAGCTTTTTGGGAGTTGGGAAGAGCTGGATAAGTATTTGGCCAACTACAACAGGAAAATGTACCAGGTTGGTCTGTCAGACTGCGCCACAGTCTCAGAATGTGTCCCAATTTAAGACTGAACTAACTAATTTCTGGTGTGCTCTGTAGTTGTACTCTGTGCGTACTGCAACTCCGGTCAAGACGCGGAACGAGCGGATCAAGAAGAGCCGTACGCCATGCAAGACGATTCCTGAGGAATTGGAATTCTACAACAAAACGTTCGTCTGTACGCATCACGGCAGTCCAAGGCGCAGCCGAAGCACTGGAAAGCGTCCTAAGCAGCACTCGAGAAAGATTGGGTGTCCCGCCCAACGCACTGGAGACAGATTCGAGGCGCTGCGAAAGTATATGCATGCCGATTTGGTACCGCTGTTACCGGAACCTCCCTCCCCAAAGCGCTACAAGTCCAAGCAACTCGAATGGATGGCACAAGTCGACTCCTACAACTGTGGCGTCTTCGTAATTACATTTTTTGAGATGCTGCTGCTAAACGTCACTGTAACGGGGTCAGACTCGCCGTCTGAATCTGCCATCGCGATGCATTACTTCCGATACCGTTTCCTTGACCACATTTTAAGCTCTATGTGAGATAGTGTAATTGCTGCTAAGTGAAACAAGGTTTTTATTTGGACGTGTGTGCACTTCATGAGAATCGCTGCGTTGGGGCGCTTATCTGTTTTGTGCTTGCCTAAGTCTTTGCCAAGCACAAGTACGAGCTTTTGGAGGCACAAGCATTCGCATTTCTGGATGTGCAGTTCGCTCTACATCACTGCCCTCGTCGTCTATGCAGAGAAACCTGAACGCCGGCTGGCAAATAGTTTAGTCTATGGAGTGAATCCTGACGCCCGCATGGTTGTGCTATCCAACACATGGTGAGGCTATCCACCAGAAAGGACATCATACTGTGTAAGACTGTGCATGACTCTGTATGACACTGCAAAAAATTGCTGACTCATAGCCCCAGACTGTGTACGCAAGCTCTTTCCAGGAAGCAAAGATTCCGATTTTTATACGGTGTTTGCGTCGCTGTGTGACCTCGTCAATGCCTCCAAGAGCTGGGTGATTGTGATCTGCGCGGCGACTATTTACCAGCCAGTGGATGAATTTCTGGCCGCCTCGCCACAATGGAGAGAGATGCTGCAGACGACATCATTGAAGCGCCCGAAGATCAACGGTAGAGACGTATTTGATACATTCGCCTATGGGAATGGAGCTTTGACGCAGCTATTGGTGGATGACATGGGCGGACATGGCAGAGCATTGGAAGAATTGTTCAACGTGATGCTGCAAAACCAGGGGCAAGCTTTTGAATTCATTCCGGTGATGCACAATGTGCTGGCTGCCATTCGACAAGCGTACCCTGCGATTGTTGCCCAGATGCAGAGTATGAAGCAAGCATTTCTTGCGGTGATTTGTCGTCGGAGTGTTGATGGAAATTCGCGCTTTGGAAGTCTAACGCTTGATCAAGTTATCTCGCGCGGGTTGATTCGACTAGATGGAACCCACCTCCAATGCCCGTTCGTTCTCTATATGCTGCTGGAAACGCATGATATTCCGTGGAACAAACAAGCTACTTACGCACCGGCAGAACGATTGGAAGACTTGAAACCTTGGCAACTTTGGGAGCAGTTCAACTGCAAGTTCCGAGCGTTGAAATCGGAAGCTTTCTCTCAGAAGGAATCTGTATTATGGACGGATATACATTATGGAGCACGGTTTGGCGATGGATGCAAGCGACACGTTATTGAGCGGCAATTGACGTATGCGCTTGCTGACAAGCGGATGCCAACGAAGACCAAAGGATTCAAGAAAGGAAGGTGCTCTTGCGGTAATGATCGTGGGAAGTGCTTTCTGTATCAGCCTGCAGACGGGTCTCCGTCTGGAGATGCATTTCTGTGTCTGGAAGATGCGACGAAGGGCTTCTTTCACGAGGTTCATCAGTGTAAATGCGTCGAAGGAAAGTTATCACTGGACGTTTTCGAGTAAGAACGGTCGAAGGCTGCAGGTTCCGACGACTTATTCATCATGTATTGCACGAGTCAAGTGACGGCTGACCTACGTATACTGCCAAATTCCGCGTTTGTCGATGCCACCTGCTGGGAAGCGTACTACGGCCCATTTGCTGCTCGTGCATTTTTCATCAAGTCTGTTCCTTTACCGTGCATCAACACAAGCTCCCAGGTCCAGCTGGAGTTCGTGGAGGGTGTGGAGTGCCCGAATAGCAAAGAAGCGTCCATTCGCCAGCCTGGAAGATGCTCTTGTGAAGACAAAGATTCCAGCCAAGGTTCTTAAACGATTCAATTTCAACACGGATTCGCGCTAGCCCTATCGTGGGCATGGGCTGATTGATCTGTGTCCTCGGCGTTCACGACCAAGTATGAGGGACAAAGTAAATTGCAAAGTGATTGAATATAAAGAGATTGATACCTGGCACTACTCCTGCTGCCTCCTTGTCTGTTTGCCTCCTTGGTGAGGGCTTGCACAGCCTCTCCTTGGAGCACCATGGCCTTCAGCTGCATCTCGTGCGTCCAAATATACGATCCCAGACTTGATATCTCACCAGCTGGTCCATCGCCACTGGGGGATCATCAAGCCACACGGAAATCCTTGGGCTTTTGCTTCAAAGTTGGTGATCGGTGATGATCACGCCTGTTCGCCACCTGATGCCCATCATCTGGGGGCATCATATCAGCCGTCGGCAGATTACTTCTCCCTCCACGAGAGCGTTAGCGTTGGCGTCGGCGTTGCCGCTGTCTTGGGCGTGCTTGAGCATCCAGCATTGCCACGACATCGGGGTTATCGTGGTGGGCCTCACAGTAGCGCTCGAGTAGAACTGGAACGTCTGCAGAAAGTGACGAGTAGCTCTCCCACGTATTTTCATGCTCGTCGAGGCCGAGCCATTTGACCTCGACCTCCCATTACCGAGTACTGGAATTGTGTCGTACACCCCGGAACGCTTCGACACAATGCCCTCCCTGAGAATGCAGCGCGTACTGCAGCAGATCTTCCGTGACCTCTCGGTCCGCCTCCGCGTAGAGGCGAATTCGGGAGACATGGTGTGTTGTGATGCGATGAGGTGGATTAAGGTCCTCGACCTCAAAGATCCACGCCGTGACAGCTCGAACAATCCGCTTAGGTGGGATGGAAGCAAAAGGAAAATGGTGAAGCTCTTCTGTGCGGTGGTTGGAGCGGCAGGGAGCGCGTTCTCTGTGGGGGTGGATGAGAGCGACACGGT